GCAGATTGCTCTCTCTAACTATACTCAGACGCAAGATTCCATGCTATTGCAGAAAGTTACTCTGAGACTTACTTCATGGGGCGTGGCGTACCACTTACTTATTTTTGGTAGGGCTATGGCTATAAATGGGGCACTCTTTGCTCTATTATGGTTTGTCGGTAAGGTGCGTGGACTTGGCCCTCAGTTATATACGATTACTAAACGAAAAGCATCTAAGTTTATTTGGAAATCTCGTGCTGAGGATGACGATTCTTTTTTACCAAAGGTCGCATGGGACTTGTTGTGCACCCCTCGAGAAGAGGGGGGGTTGGGGCTGTTTGACCCCCGCCGTCAGAAATCTGCTATATTATGCCAGTGGATCACACGCGCGGTGCAGGCTTACCCTGCCCCTCACTGGGTCTTTCTGGCTGAACAAATTTTAGCTAATGAGTGGAACTTTCATCGGTCCTCTGATGTTTGGACATGCTTAATGCTCTTCTTCTATCAACGAAGACGTATCAAATCTGTCCTTTGGGGCCCAATTACTGATGCCTGGAAAAAAGTCTGTCCGAATGTTTGGATTGAACCTTCCTCCAAAGCAGAAGTGTTTGTCCAATCTTTGTTCGAAAATCCCCATATAAGGGATGAATTCGACAATTGGTTCTCTGCAAACTCTGCCTACTTTAGCTTTGACCGATAATAGATTGAGAAGGGTATTTTGAAGATTCAAGGTCTGTGGGATTCTATTCTGGGTACATGGAAACCCTTGTCAGATATACAGTCCCAGTTGGGGCAACTGAGAAGAGTGGAGGAAAAGCGGACCGCTCTCATCAATGCTATCCCACAGAAATGGAAAGAGCTCCTGTCCCCAGATGGAGTTGATCCACCAGGTACTTGGTTCTCTGGTGAATCTCTCCCTTTTGAAGGAGTCTGGAAACTTCTATCCATTGATGAGGAAGGGAAAAGGAACGTTGAACACTGGTGTGTTCACAACAACTGGCTGCAGTTAGAGGAAGACAACCACCAACCCTTAGTAGGCACTCAACTTCAACAAGTGAGGGTATTAGCTTATAGCACGACGGATGTTGTCCATCGATACCAGCTTCAAACAAATGGGACTTCAATTCTTAGCCTTAGGTTGAACCCTGCGTTATGGGAATGGAGAATTAAAAGCAACAGAGGTACGAATGCCTCGATCACGGACTATTCCGCTAAGATAGGGTATGCGGTTCTAGCCCCTCTGAGAACCCCTCAGGTAACAACAAGGGCTAGAAGGCTTCAGTTGGTGGATATACCAGCTCGGGAAATTGATCGAGCACTCACAACTTGTTGGTCCCAGCTGAAGCTGTTGGCAAACCAACGCCATGCCTCCTTGTTATGGTTGGTTTCCCTAGTGGCAACCCCCTCAGCGGTATGGCTATCCTAACGGGGACTGACCTTAGATCTGACTTGTCCTCGATGTAAGTGGGCCTTTGAATCGACAGTCCACCTTTGGTGGGACTGTCCAGCCTCAGTCCGTATTTGAAAATGGTGGCAGAAGCATTGGGCACGCATCTCCGGACCTGCATTCGAATGGACAAGGGAATGGTCATTATTGGGCGGTGTTCCGGTGAATGTTCAGCAAACCAGTGGATGGGGATACATTGCTCAAACAGCTCGTGCTGTCTGTTTCATCGTCATATGGCACGAAAGGAATCAACGAGTCTTTCATGACACAGAACTCACCAATCGCCAAATCAGGCACTTCTTCAAATCCCAGTTCCGCCGAGTTATTCAGGCTGACTGGAGAAGGAAAGTTCTTATGCAACAAAATCCCAGACCAGGCATTACATGGTTCAATCAGACGTGGGCCCGCTCCAACCCTCTCTGCACAATCTCATACATGAAGCTGATCCTGGACAATTGGTGGTTCCAGGATTGACTCCGGTATCTGTTCTTCTTTCTGTAAAGATTAGCTATTGCTCTGCTCCCCTTCTCTTGCTTCCTTCCCCCCCCCCCCTGACTTCCGTTTCTTTCTGTACATTGCTCTGTTTCATTCTCCTCTCAACCTAACACTCGGTTCATCTAAAGCCACAGGAGGCTGGCTGTCAAGTGGTAAGTGGAGTTGTGTTGGTGTGTTGGTTCTGAGGAGGGAGCGAAATCAACATTGGGGGTCTTATGTTAGTCCCCCTGCGGACACAACCGCTATAGGCTGTCAATATTGCTTAGATATGTTTAGTTGTATGGTAGGGTTGAATTAGGATGGGATAGTCTCAGTAGTTTAATTTCTTTCTGTTTTTAAGTGATGGTAACTAGTCGACTCAAAAGAGGTTTTTTGGATTGTGCTCGGTTTTTAGGCCTTGTGGTTCTTTCGTTTGGGGGTTGTCTTATTTGGCTTGTGTTCGGTTTTTCAGCCATTGATTGTTTTTTGTTTTGTTTCCCAGGGTTGGGATGTGTCAGGGCAGCGGTCTTGAATTGGCCATTCTGCTACTAGACCCAAGTGTCCCAAGGCCTGCACCTAAGCTGGGTAATGGTCCCAGTATTAATTGCTTTGTTTTTGGGTTGTTTGTTGAGGTTTTCTCGGCCTCTCCTTTTGTGTGGTAATAAAAATGGCCAGAGTCTCTTTGTAAAAAAAAAAAAATAAAAAAAAAATGGAAAATGTGTCGAATCGGCGTGGCGATTATTTCACAGTGTACATTTTTTTTTTTAATGTTATATTATTATTTCTAGAAAGAACACAACCTCATCTATGGATTCTCAAAATTTCATATTTTTATGCATGTTCGTCCGAGCACATAAAATCGCCGAAGTTGCCTCTTGCAAAACACCTATTGGGCTCTTTTGCAGTTCACATGCCCGCACTTCTTTTTAGGGTCCGCTTCTACCCGTAGCGTGCAAAAAAAAAAAAAAGAGAGAGAGAGAGAGAG